TGGCTCGGGTTTTCATGCATTAAAAAAAAAAAAAATTACTAAAAACCTAAGTTCCAAGCGGCCTCTTAGAAGAACGATTAACACCAACCATTTGTATAGATCAGTGGCTACCTAATTGGTATAGTTAACAATAGAAAACAAAGTTTCAATAAACAATAATTATTCACAAATATGAGAAGTATTACATTAAATTAACTACTAATTTAATAATAATTAAAGAGTCAACACAGTCACTAAGCCCAAACTTGAGAATAAATAAACAATTATAAACAACCCTTACAATGAGACAAAAATAAACACCACAAAGAATTCAAATCCTTCTCTATTGTATATTATTTGTTTTATCACCATTTCATATCATTAAGAAATGAAAAAACATTATTTAGTTTCATGAATAATTATTTATGAACCGGAATCAATTATGAATATCCGCTTAAACAGTGATTCCAAACGATCAGAGAAAATGGGTGACATATAGCAATATTTCCCTTTAAATTATAGAGCAATGATTGAATTGGTTTGGGGCATTTTAGTTGTCGTGTTTGGTTGAGAGATTTGGGAAAAGATTTGGAAAGAGAAAGGAAAAAGGTAGATAAAATGTGAATAAAATATACTTACATTTTATTACATTTCACACACCTTTTTCATTTCCTTTTCTAAATCCTTTCTCAAAGCCTCCAACCAAACACAGCATTAGGGATATAAGATGAGAAATAATTTAAGATATGAGATGAATTATATATATTGCATAGTCACTTATACTATGTTTGGTTAGAGTAGGATATAACATGTGATAAGAAGAGGGTGATTATTTTTTTACCATTAGATGAATGATACCCCTTGTGGTGGGGAGTATGCAATACGCAATACCATGAGGGTAGTTGTAGTAGCTATCTGTATTTTGAGGGATATAATATATCACTAGATTTCATATCTAGCAACCAAATTAAGGATATTAAAAAAAGGTGAAACTCATGTTTTTCTTTGCCCCCTAAACCCGGTCAAAAGGGTATATCCCCCATTATATACCCCAATCAAACAAGGCTTAAGAGAAAGACTATGGTAAAAACAAAATGAACAACTCTATATTTTTTAAGTTATAATTTAAAAAAAAAAATTTCTAACCAAACACCACATAAGATACAACCAAATGCTTCATAAAGCATAACCAAAAATCTTATAAGTAATAAGTAAAATATTGTCATAACTAAAGAATAAAATTATTTATAACTAAAAAAAAAAAATAACATAACTATGAGTGTATATGGTACATCCCATTCAAGGGGAATGTATAATAGAATTTCCCATAATTTAATGTACTTCCTCCTAATGAGTAAATTATACTTTTTACTGTTGTAGACTGTTCTATTTGAGCTCATGAATCTCATCATGTGTCTGTCTCAATGATCCAAATCGCTTATTAACATATAGATTATCCATATAAAAAAAAAATAAAAAATCAGGTCGATTTGATAATCGTAGTCACATGAATTTATTATATTTATCTTCCAAAAAATAAATGATTTAATTTTTAAATAATATTTGTCGTTATTTTTTTTGCAAATAAATATGATAAACTAACATAATTCTGGTTATAAAGGGGCCACTTGAGAATAAGTTAAAACTCAACTTTTAACCTATTTTGAGTCACATCACCTCTCACATAAAAAAGCCAAAAAAATTAAAAACGACAAAATTTAACTTTTAACTAACTTTCAAATCACCTTTAAATTGACTTGATTTTTTTTTTTTATGAATAATTTATACATTATAATTTAAAAAATAAATAATTCAAATTACAAGTACCAAACTTGTAATAAACGTACTAGCTGAACAACCTGCTACCTCTATAATTTAGTGTTTGTTTGGCATGTGCTAAAATAACACATGTTATTTTAACACATTATCTTATTTGGGTCACATCATCTCTCTATCATATCACTTCCAGTCTAATTTATATTTTATAATTTTTTTATACAAAGTCAAAAAATATATTAATTTAACACTTCTCAAATTACCTTACTCATTAGGAAGAAGTTCATATGTAGTACGTCCCTTGGAACTCATTAAACTAGTATGGGTTGTTTTGGAAGCTTTTGGATTTTTATCAAATTTTTTGGCTTTTTTGGAAGTGATTTGGAAAGTTGATAAAAAGTTAATTTTTTTTTTTTAGTTTAATATTTATTTGTGGTGTCAAATCAAATTAAAATGACCAAAATACCCTTACCTAACATAAAAGATTTATTTTTTTATTTTTTTTATAGGCCTTAATTTGTAATTTTACAGCTGCATTTTTGGCACTTGCCAAATGACTTTTTTGACGTTTTTGGCAGCCACGTTTTTAGATATTTTATCTAAAAACGTGACTTTTTACCATATTCCTAAAATGACACTATGTAGTACATCCCTTGAAATTCGGTCACTCATTGTGTTAGGTAGTACACCAGCTTGATACTTACTCTTTTGTACTTTGTACTACCAAAAATAGGCAATCTTCCATTGAAACCTCGTGACTGCCACATTCTCTTCAAGTGCCCCCATTCCTTATTGTGAAATTCTTCTCAAGTATCAAACCCCTTATTTCTTCATCTTCTAGTTGAAAACAATCAACACTTTTTTTGAATGATCATTTGATTACTGTTAAGGATTAAGCTTCGCAGGTAAGACTCTCATACTGTGAAAGTTCCTTATTTGGTGAAATATAGTAAAGATTTCTTGGTTGCTTTACTCCTTGTCTATTTTAATATAATATATTATGATAAGCATGGAGTAAATCAACCAAGAAATTCTACTCGTACTCATGTTGATTCAACGGTATTTGGTTAATAATAAGAAATAATTATACTGATTGTCTGAGATATATGTGGGTTATTTGGCATAAAAATTCCGCTCATATTCATTTGATTCAACAATATTTGTTTAACAATAAAAAAATAATTGTATTGATCGTCTGTAATATATGTGGGTTATTTGATATTTTGGTGTTCATGCTTCGATTGTGTTATTAAATAGTAAGAGTTGTAAAAGAGATTATGGCCTGGTTTAGGAACATGCTATTTTAGTGATTTTTAATTTTTTGGTTAAAATATGAGGTAAAAACAATTAGTATGTTTGGAATAATTTTTTGATTTTTTAAAAAAAGATGTGCAAAAGTAGAGAGAAAAAAAAATCTTTGATTTTTTTTTTTATTATAGATTATAGGCTTTTTATTTTTTTAATAATTTTTTGACTTCTAAGTTAAAATTACCACTTCCCAAACAAAGCACACATATATATATATATATATATATATATTTTGTTATTCATGTCATTTGAACTTTAACAACATGCTAATCCTAATCCCCAAATATATTGTCGAGAATGTTTTTTTTTTTTTTTTCGATGGTGTTAACAGGCTGGATACTAGACTTTCCAAATTCCTTGAATTCACGGAAGGCCCAAGTCTTAACTAATGGGCTTTAGCCATGTGAAGGCCCATCAAACCTTTCAAGACTCATCAATATCCAAAGAAGAAATATGTAACCACTATGTATATAGATGATGTTTCAATAAAAAATGTTGTTATTTATTATTATTATTATTTAAGAATCAATAAAATTAATTTACTCCCGGCTAATAATATATAGTTTCAAGAATTTTTTGGCTCCACGATTTCCCTGTTTGATGCATGATTATTCTGATTTGGCAACTACATTTTTGGGAAGTTAGTTCTTCTTCTTCTTCTTCTGAAAAAAGGGTCAAAAGATGGTCCCTCGTGTTTGGAGTGGATTGCCAAAGGCTATCACGTATCAGTGTAAAAAGATTAGAAAAATAATTGAGAACTCTAGAAAAAAAAGCTGTAAGAGCATCTCCAATGGTGTTTGGTAAAATAGCATTGCTATTGTTATAATTTGACAATAAATAGTGGTATTTTGACAAATTATAACAATAGTACTCCAATGGTCACTTACTATTTTAACAAATCTCAACCAATTTTTTTTCCAAGTTTGTAGGTATTGTTTGGAAATAAATTTTTAGTGATTTTTTTAGTTTATTTTTTGTCATATTATTCCCGACTAGATAATTATTAAAAAAATAAAAAAATTGAAAAAAAAATTAAATATAATTCACTCAACTAAAAAATATATCACTTAAAAAAAAAAAAAAAACAAATTTATCAGAAGATAGGGAACAAATTTAAATATAATCCCACTATATTACAATAGGCTTAATCTTTTCTTTTAAGGCACACAGAACCCAACAGCTCTTTTTATTTCCAAGACAAAATCATCATCCTCCATGTACCCCAAACTAATGGTTGAGATTAATTATTTAGAATCATCCTTCCAAGACAACACACCGTTATCTCTTTCTCATCTTCATTTTCATCAGAGTAGGCTGAGCATCTTTCTCTCTCTTTCTGAAGACAACACATTTATATCTCTTTCTCTTTGCTGGAATCGTCTTCTTCTTTTTGATCAAGCTGTTTGTTGATTTTGAAATATCCATATCTCCATCTTTCTATTTCTTCCTGGAATCATCATTCCAAGACACATTTATGTCTCTCTCTCTTTCTCTGAAGACAGCACATTTACACCATTTTTCCTTCTTTTTTCCTTGGATTGGAAATATCGATATCTCCATTTTTATCAAACCCATTCACCCTCTTTCTCTTTCTTTAGATCTCACCTCACCATCATCAAACCCATTTCTCTATTACCATTTTCTTGGAGACCCACCAATCTCATTTCCCCTATCTCTAATATGCGTCTGTTTCAGACCAAATTAGGTGAAAAAAATACAGCAGACCCACAAATCTTTTATGAGATTTTCAAATATTGAAACTCAGTGCAAAACCCAGGAATTGGTTGAGATGAAGGACAAGTTTGCCGAAATCATCCTAGAATTCAAGTATTTATTTTATAAATTCAAACTAGATTGCTTCAGAAATTTATATAAATTTGTGAAATTTGTGTTGACTGATAATTTTGAAATTTGTTATTGACTGATTGTTCCAAATATATGTGAAATTTGTGAAACAAATTCTTGACTAATCATTCTGAAATTTGTGAAATTTGTGTTTGGAAAATGCAGAAATTGGGGAAATTTATTATGAGAAAAAAATTTGAAGGAACAGATGTTATAGTATATAAATGAATTATATTTGACAAAAAAAAAATATTAGTGAATTTCGTTTAAAAAAATACCATCAAACATTTTGGGATGTTTTTTTGGGAGAGGATGAACTGAGCTTTGGAGCAAAAATCAGTTATTTTTGATGATGTGGTATGTGTGGCAAATGAATTTGACAACAGAAATGACATATGCTATATTTAGTAAGAGAAATAGCAGGCCATTGGAGACCCTTTTTTTTCACTCTTACCAAACTATAGTTTTGGCAACTCCTTTGGCAGTACTATTGGAGATGGTCTAAAGAGCTTTAAATGAGTCTCACATGTGATGTGATGTGTGCCATTTTTTTTTTTTTGGCCACGTGTAGAGCTTTCTTTAAAGTTTAAATATTAAAACTCTCTATCATTGTTGAAAAGATAAACATAACCCTCAATTTTGTACCAAAGACAAAATGGCTTGATTCTCTACCAAGGATAAAATGGGGCATTTAAGACAAAAGGCTAAATATTGCTAAAAGAAAAGGGTAATTTTACTTGCACCACAAAACTATTTCCTTTCACTTTTAAAATTTTATTTTTTATTTTTATTTTTTTATAATTTTTACAATACCATCAATATGTTTGGTTTTGATTTTTTGGATTCAATTTTCTAAAAATTATGTTTTTATTTTTCGTATTTTTTTTATTTTTAGCGAATATTTTTAAAATTTTAAGCAATTTTTTTACTTTTTTAGATGCATTTTACTTAGATGTATCTAAAAAGTAAAATATTTATAAAAAAATTAATAAATACACAAGAACACGAAAAATATACTGAATTCTTATATTTTTTTTAAAGATATTTTTGGTATTTAATGAATTTTTTGAAAAATAATTTCATAAATATTATACTTTTTAAGTATATTTATATTAGGTGTATTAAAAAATTAAAAAAATTAAAAAATTTCAATTTTTTAAAAAGTAAATTCTAAAAATCCAAACCAAATCCCTATTATTCACTCTTCTCCTTACACCCAAACCTTTTAAGTCTTTGTTTGGGATGTGTATTTAGCTTTTTTTTGATTTTTGCGAATGAAAAAATAAAATAATTATAGTTTAGATGTGATATTTTATCTTATTAAATTAAAAAATTTATTTTATTTTTTTTTAAAATTAAAATAGTCCCAACCCAACCAAAACCTTCATGCTAAACGAACCCTAAAGCCTAATTTCTTCACCTCCAACAGTAATTCTCGAAATTGAAGTTACGAGGTGCTGATTTTTTGACCTCCACTAATTTTAAAAAACTCGGAAAATCATGGGGAAAAAAATAAAGGTTCCGTTTGGTAGAATTTTGTAAATATGATTTGAGAGTATGAATTGTATTTTGAGTTTGTGAGTTGTGGAATTATGATTTGAATGTAGAAAATTTGTTTGGTTATGATTTTTGAATAGAGTGTTTAAGTGAGTTTTGAATTGAATGTGGAATTGAGTTTTGAAAGTTTGATTTGACATGTGAAGTAAGAAAAAATTTGTTTGGTTATGAGTTTTGCAAAGAGTTTTCAAAACTTAATTCAAATTATTATAACTCATAACAAAACATACTACTTTCACACTATTGAAAATTCTGATCAAAACTCATAACCAAACTCTTTTTAAAATTCAATTAAAAAAATTATTATTAACAGAAAATAACATTAATCAGTTTTTTAATTGAAAATACTACAAAAGAAATAATTTTTTTTCAAAATAAATATTCAAAAAACTTAAATCATAAATATTTAAATAATCTAAAAAATTTAATAAGTAAAAATTAAAATAAATATTCAAAAAATTTAAATCGTAAAAATTTAAATAATTTAAATATTCAAAATTTTTAAATAATTTAAAATGTTAATATTTTAAATTTAAAAAAATTCTATACTCAAATCGTAACCAAATACATAACAAAAAAAATTAAAAGATTTAAAAATATTTTTATAAAATAGAGTTTGAATTTATTTTTATAAAATATTTTAAAATATTAAAAAATTAAAAAAAAATTAAAAAAATCGTAATATATTTAAATATTAAAATATTTAAAATCTTAACAAAATTAAAATATTTTTAAAATATTTAAATATTGAAAATATTTAAAAAATTAAAATATTGATTTGAATTGAGTTTTGAAAAGAATTTTGATTATATGTTTGATTATGAGTTTTGAAAAATAATAATATGTTTTGAATTAAATTTTGAAAAATGAATGTAGAAATATGATTTAAAAGTTCCAAATAAACAATACACTTAAATCAATAGATAAAATTATATTTTGAGAGGCTCATCAAACGGAGCCAAAGATTCACACTCTCATTTTCTTCTTCCTTCTGTAGTTTTTCTCAGCAACGAAACAACACCCCAAAAAAAAGTTTAAAAAAAAATCAGAGACAATCAAGAAACTTGGGAACACAATCGACATCCATTGAATGAATGAATTAAAAATATGAATGCGATGAAGATGGATCCAAAGCAAATCGAAGAGTGTTTTTCCTTGGTCAAGGTCATTACGTCTATGTTTTTTTACTTTCTCACTCTAAAAAATCAGATTTTCAGAGTTTGAGGGCACACCTCGCAACTTTTTCTCCGATCTTCCTCCGACGTCAACTTTCTGATAGTGTTGGTGGGTTTCGCCGGCAGTGGTTCATCGCCGATTTCTTTTTCCTGATGGTTTCAGTCCGTCATTGGCTTCTTTTCATCAAGTTCAGTCCGTCGTTGTTGCCATAATGGACTTGTTTTCGCCAACGTTGACTCATGTGTGTATGTGTTATTATGAAGGAACTGTAAGAATTTATTCTTAATTAGGCTACCATTAACTATGTTTTATTTTGATTTGTGAAAAACGGGTTGAAAGTGATTCAGACAAACTGACTGGTATAAGCCCAAATTAATTTTGTGATTCATAAAGTTTTGGGCCATGGTTCATCTTAGTGGTTTTATTATAAGTATGTGGTATGGAGGTGTAAGGCTTGTTTTGAGTAATTTGGGTTCCTTAATGGGAGGGCCCAATAATTATTGTTTAGGCCTAGTCCCCTCTCCTATCCTATAAGGGTTTACCTATATTTATATATATGTAAATCTAAGGGTTGTTAGCCCCATTGAAAAACAACGTGAAAAATATAGGAGAAGTAGAAGAAGAGCTGGTACTAAGGTTTTCCAATTGTGAATACCGTATTGTTCTAAAGAAAGCAACACTCAAGACAATGGCAGAATTAAATGGTATGTATTTAAGTTCTTATTTTAGTAATTAATTATATTCATAGTGTTTTGATTTCTAGTATAAAGATCCTGTAAACTTACATGTGGTATCAGAGCAAGTTCATACTAGAATCAAAATCATGATAGATTATTTCAATAGTTTTTTTAAGAAATAATATATATATATATATATATATATATATTTCTTTTACTAAAACAATGTGCCTCGTAATGGGTGATTTACATATACATACTGTTCATCATTGAAATTGCTTCAGAATCATTAAAAAAA